TGCAGGGTGCAGGTGGCTGGGGATGAAGGCACCATAGGGTGGCAGGCATGGGGGGGAGGCAGAGATCAAGCTGCTGTCCCTCCCCATGCCCCCCCACCAGCTGCCTGCCCCACTTCTGCTGCTGCTTTCCCCACTGTAGCACTGAAGGGGAGACAAATTTAAGATGGCCCTCCAATAGTTAGATTTGATACATTAAAAATTATAACAAATTTATACCGTTTCCATGTACAGAATCTAATTATTGGGAGGTATCTTAAATTCAGTCATCTTGGATTTGAGTAAATACAGTAGTTCCTCTCCTCAGGAGAGCGAGCTTTCACTGGACTGAGACTGTTGGAATTAATTGCCCCAGAAATAAAGACCATCACCAGTCTCTGCTGAGTGCAAGCAATGTACTCTTGATGTCATCTTTTCCAACATAAACATACAATAGCAGGTACAATTCAAAAAAGGAATAATCTAAAGATAAAATGTTACCAAAACAGAACACCAGACTGCATCCTACATTCTCCACCAAAGGAAAGAATGAGATAACCGGTCACACATATCAGATGTTAGTCATTGTGTTTAATGGACTTCTGGAAAGTGTCTGGATAATATTTTGATATGGACAGGATAGGAAAGAACAGAAGAGAACAAATGCTTTTGCTGCTGGTATTTACCTATTAATGTTTTTAAAAGTATTGCCTTATTTGATGTGATGTTGGTGTATTCAGCAAAGAGCACTTATCTGCTAGGCAGGCTCCTCAAAGTCTAAGCTCCCATAGTCCATCAGGACTGCATGGTGAAGGCACGCTAGCTTCCACAGTTAACAGCACACAAGGGAGTCATATTGAGAACATCAAGTCCAGACATCTTTGGATCCATAACCTGAATGGCCAGGTACCAATTTATGGCTGAGCTGCCTGGAAGCAGACTCCAACCTGCGTCTGCAGCTGGGCTTGAATTTACATCTCTAGACCCACAGCAAGACACTTTAACCACTCTCTCACCACACCCCAATACAGTCTCTTACTACAGCAAAATGAACTGGAAAGAAACATAAAAGGTCTACTCCAAAAAATAATTATTTTATATCCTAGAGATGAGGTTGTAATCACATCAACACAATAATCAGAACTGCAAAGAGATCTATCCTTACATTTTATTGATCTTCACTCCGACTTTGTCCAAGCCAATTTTCCTTGTGCATGCATCCCTTCCCACTGCTAGCAACACCTGTAAAACATCAATGCATGTTGTTGCTAATTTCCTAAAAACTTAGAAGGGCATTTGCATGATTATTCATTTTAAATTATTCTTTATATTACATTAGCAGCTAAAGGTCCAGTCAGGATCAGAATAACATTGTGTTAAGCACTGTACTAACCAAATTAGGGAATGATGCCAGTTGACATTTCAAGATCAAGCTTAAATATCAACCTCCTTCCTCAGGAAAACATTCCAAATATGTTCTAAGTAAACTCTTGCAAGTCAGAACATCTTTCTTCTTCATATATTTCTGATACAATATTACTGCAGTGAGTTTTTAATCAAAAGGAGAGCTTAGAATTGTTTTCTAAAGAAAGGATTTGTTAATGAAAAAGTTCAAGGGTCCTACTAAATAAAGTGTGTGAAACTATCCCCCTCCTCTGGGAACCAATTCATCAACTCTTTGAAGTCAGACTGGATGGTGGCATATGGATAAGAAATATTGTGGTGGTGGTGAATTAAGAGCCTTCTTAAGGAAAAGACTCCTCAGATTCTAAAGACCATGAGGCTCTCACTAATATAAGAAGGAGTATAATACGTTGTACAACACATTTGCTGTTGTTTTCAGGGTGACCATGTCCCATTTTTGCCAGGACAGTCCCATTTTAAACACCTGTCCCAGATAACCTTGTAACAGGGAGCCAAAGGTTCCTGTTACTTTAAAGAGGAAAGTGCAACAGGCTAACCTTGCAGTGTAGGCAAGCAGCTGAACAAAAGCTAGTTGTACTGCAATAAGCTTGCTGTATGGGGCAGATTTCTAGGTAGCCTGAGAGTAAAGGCTGCAAGCAGCTGAATTAAGCTGCAGCAGGGAAGGGCAGGCTGGCCATTAGGAAAAAGCGGAAACCCCTGTGTACGACTAAGGAGTCATATAACCCAAGGGGCTGTGCTTCAGGGCATAGAAGTCCAGTGCTTAAAGCGAGCAAGACAGGCAGTCTGGCCTTGCATACTGCAGGGCAAGGAGCTCCTGGGAGAGAGGGACTGCAGGTGACAGACAGGCAGGCACCCAAACCACCTAAGAGAACTGGGAGGAGAGAGCTCAAAGAAATATGGCTTAGGGGGCAACACTGACTCAGAGTGTGGGAGACTTTTAGTTTGGAAGTGGGTGTTTGTGTTGCATTTAAGTTCAATACCAAAGGACCAGTTTGTGGTTATAGAAGAGGATTGGAGGCCATGGACCAGAATGCCTGGGGCACTTGGGGTTTTGAGCCTTGCAAAGGAGCAAGAAGCGATAACCAAGGGACAAGCCAAAGCTGTGAAGGCCACAGCCTGTGCCTCAAGAGCAGGAGGTAAGGGGCAGGCTGGAGCTGCAAGGGCCAAAACCTGAGCCTCAAGAGCAGGTGACAGGGGTCAGGCTGAAGCCTTGAGGGCCAGACCCCACACCCTGAGAGCAGGAGGTAGGAGGCAGGCTGGAGCCATGATGGCCAGAGCCTGAGCCCTAAGAGCAGGTGGCACAGGGCAGACCGGAGCTGCAAGAGCCAGAGGCTGAGCCCCAACAGCAAGAGGCAGGGGGCAAGCTGGAGCCATGAGGGCCAGAGCTTGCACCCCAAGAGAGTCAAATTGGGACTGAGAAGCCAGGTCAGAACAAGTGGACTAAGCTTAGGAGTCTACAGCTAAAGCAACCAGTGAGCCAAAGCCAAGAAGGCTGAAGCCTGTACAGACTGGCATGTGGATCAAAAGTAACATGCGTGAGGCATGGATATCACTATAGAGAAGGATGGAAGCCACAAATACAGCCCATAAGGCAACTGGTGCCCCAAAACACAGATAGGACCAAGAGGGCCACAGTTTAGAGTCCTAGAGGGAAGGCAGAAGCTGTCTGGGCATGGCTGGCTGAGGAACTGAGGTTTACTTTGGGACCCCGGGAGCAGTCTTACTATATGCTATAAGAAACATCAAGGTGTTACAGGCAAGGAACAAAAAGGGAGTGTACCCCAAGGAGCCAGACGGCGGCAGGAGTCATGTGGCCACTAAGGGGCATCATGACTACCCCTGGAGCACTAGGCCTGCTACAGTCTTACTGATTTGATAAAATGAACACTTTTGGGATAGGTGTTTAAAAATAGGACGATCCCAGAGAAAAATATTTAACCCTCTTCCCCTCTCTCCTGTACACTCTGGTGGGGCTAGAGCTTAGAGACAGCTAGTATGCTGGTTAGCAGGGGTGGGATAGAGTGTGGAGCTGAATGTCTCATTCTGAGACTATGAAAATATAGTCAATATGGTGACCCTAGTTGATTCTTTAATATTCATTTTATAGTATTATTCAGGTACGCTTAAACAGACCCCCATAATGTTAGACTCTGTGTAAACATCAGGATACACAAGGTTCCTATTGCACAGCATTTGCAGTTTAAGGTCCTGATAATCTTAATTTTATGTATTCTGAGTAGTCTCATTGACATCACTCGCTTCAGCATCAGATTTACATGCATGTATAAACACATGTTATTACTTCAATTTTGTAATCTCATAAATAAGTATTGGTTTTCCTAATTACTGTGCACTGGTTGACTTTGCAGAGGTGGTGTATCAGTGGTAGACCCTGCAAAGGGCTCATCTTCAGTGTGTCTAGTCCAGTATTTCTCAACCTTTTCAACTTGAGGCACCCCTCAAAAAATGCCAGCTCTTTGTTTTCACTTGTTTTTTTTACTACAGAAAAATATTAGAGCAAATCTTCTGTTGCAAAGAACTCAGAAGGACCACAACAGGGCAGAACGTTTTTAACACTATGGAGTCCTATTTGAAATCTTTTGAGTTTATCATGTGATTCATGTTTGCACGTCTAACAGCACTAACATTGCATGGCACCCCACAGCACCTCTGAAAGGCCCTCAAGGCATCCCTTAGTGCCTTGGCACCCTGGTTGAGAATCACTTGCCCAGATGTTATATGATCTGGCTGTTTGATGCTGTAGCTCTAAGTAAAAATCCTCATCTGCCAATAGCAGACATTGAGTAACTCCTAAGAGTCAGATCCAGCCACTGCCTCCACCCAAGCAGGGTCCTGTCACCGCTAAAGCTAAGGGGTAACACTTTCAAAACATGGTAAGTAATTTATTAGGCTCAGTTCCATTGAAGTTTCTGGGGTTTGTGCTCCTGTGTCCTGCAAGGGCTTCTAGAACTTTTATCTATTGCTTGTTTGCAGACATTCAGCCAATACTTCTTGACATTAAACAACAAAAACCACTTTCATCTCTGGAAGATCTTTCCAGAAGCATAAAACCTTCGTGCTAAGTGAAAGATTTGTGTGTGTTGTTTCCTTATAGATTGGAGGACCCATGGTGATATACTTACAGTGTTATATTCTCCTTCAATTGTCTGACTGCCAGTTGTGGATTTAGCTATAACTTTCAATTTTCCAGGAGTTCCTTCTTCAATCTGCTCAACCTACAATATTATTGAAGGGAAAAAAGCTTTAGTTTAGAATAAATATACGCAAACATATCAGTGTATCACCATACTGTACATCATATCATATGATATTCTGGCATTTTAAAGGATGGCCTAAGGTCCCAGTACTCATTCTAAAGATATGACTTTTCCATGGTCTCTTTTTGCATATTGCATGCATATTTAAATATTTTAATTCTCTGCATCTATTCTTGAAACCCACACAATTATTTTCATTTCCTTTATTCTGTTTGAGAAGGCTGCTTTAAGGGCTAAGGTCCTTGAATCATCCCTTTCAGGGCTGAGGATCTGCAGTAGACATGTCCTACAACTGTAGCTTCATGGCTACAGAAGCCATGACCACAGACATGCATCTGCTACCCTGTCCAAATACCCCAGTTTCTATGGACCACCATTAGGAAATACACTTGTGCTTCACAGTATGCTGGAGGTATACCGCCCTTGCAATGAGACCCAATCCTTCATGCCTTTTCCATATGGCACTTGCTTCCCTAGGTAAAGATCTGTGTCCAAGAAGGGGACAACACTGGAATAAAAATGCCCATAAAGCCGTAAGGCAACAAAGAAGCCTAAGTGCCACAGAATCAGCTGAAACAAACGCTCCTAGTTTCAGATTCAGGGCCAGCTGCAAGCCCTCTGTCTCAGGTATCGGCAGCTAAGCTACCCTTCCAGCATAGCAAAAGAAATGATAAAAAAAAAAAAAAGAAATTTGAACTTACTTGCAGCTAGACCTCTGCATTTAAATAGATCGTAGGGGGATTTGAAAAGCCAAAGAGATACCACAAGTGTTTTCAAAGCACCCATTGCCTTTGACAAAAACATGGGAGCTGTAAAAGGAACCTGACATTTAATCAAACAGTATCAAACAAGAGTGGAATTTGAAACTACCCAGGTTGCAAATCAATGGAGCTGGCTCTCTGTTATCACAGCTCCTTTCCCATCCAGGCTATGTACATCCTAAAACAGTGGTTCTGAACCCTTTTTTACCAGGACTCATTTGCAAACATTGATGGTCAGTCTTGACCCAGTGCCCCTCACTCCCAACCCGCTGCCCCCCACCCCCAGAACCCAGTGTGTGGGTTTGTGGGGCAGGAGGGATGTGTGTAGGGCAAGGATGGGCAAAATCCAGCCCACGGGCTGGATTTGGTTTGCGAGGTGGCCCACGGGGCCCCTAAAAAATTTAGAAAGTGTATATTTATCTGCCCTTGGTTCCTGTCAACAGCAGGTCCCGCCCGGCCCCGCCAGAAGCCCCAGCTGGGGCTTCCAGCTGGGAGCACGTGGCTGCCTCGGCGT